TTAGGGAATAACGAAGAAATCTCAATACACTATGGACTTTAGTTAATAATAATGCATTGATATTTATTCATTATTTGTAAAAAATTTACCATACTATGTAAGATAGGATATAGGTATATGGGAACTATCTGTACTGTTATCATTTTTCTGTAAATCTAAGTTTATTCTACCATTAAAAGACTATATTAAAAATATTACCTCCTTAGCCATTGAAAACATATAGCATTGTTCCAAATGTTCTTTAGGTTTTCCAAACTGTATAAATGATATTACATATGACTATACCTATATCATTATGCATTTTATTACCCAACTAGCTTTTTTAAGTATTTAGTCTCCAGTGCCCCACCCTGATTCCATTCTCTCTCCTTCTTCATGACTCCGTGCCCCAAATGGTGACTTCTAAGAGTTGCATCTTCAGACTTCCTTACCTCTTGCTACTGGTTGAATTTTTCCATTGGAAAGCAACAACATGAGACTGGAAAGTGTCAAAAGGGAAAATATGACATGGTAGGCAGAAAAATGACCCCCAAAGATATTCTGATCCTATGCATCTCAAATAAACCTAAACTTATGTCTTAAGAATTCTACCAATACTTCTCAAACTCTTTCCAAAAAACTGAGAGAAATGAACACTTCCAAACTCAATTTAATGAGGCAAGCGTTATCCTGGTACTAAAGTCAGACAAGGACACTACAAGAAAAGAAAATTACAGGCCAATATCCCTGGTTAATATAGATGCAAAAATCCTCCATAAAATACTAACAAACTGAATTCAAGAGCACATGTTAAAAGGATCATACTCCATGATCAAGTGACATTTAGCCCTAGGATCCAAGGATGGTTTAACATATGCAAATCAGTAAATCATACTACATTAACAGAATGAAGGATAAAAAAATCATATGATGGTTTTAATAGAAGCATAAATAGCATTTGACAAAATTCACTTTTCTTTTATAAAAGAAACCCTTAACAAATCAGGTATAGAAGGAACATACCTCAACTTTTAAAAAGATCCTATGTGAAAAGCTGATGCTAATATTATACTTGATGGTAAGAAGTGAAGAGCCTTACCTTTAAAATCAGGAACAAGACAAGGATGCCCACTCTCCCTGCATCCATTTAGCATAGTACTTGAAGTCCTGGCCACAGAAATTAGGCACAACAAATAAGCAAATAAAAGGCATCCAAACGGAAGGAAATAAGTAAAATTATCTCCCTTTGTCAATGATGTGATCTTATATATTAAACAAAAAAAACCACTAAAGACTCCACCTAAAAACTGTTAAAACTAATACATGAACTCAATAAAGTTGCATGACACAAAACTAACATACAGAACTCAATGTGTTTCTATCTAAACATTAACAATGAACTATCCAAAAGAGAAATGAAGAAAGCAGTCCCATTTATAATAGCATCGTAGACAATAAAATACTCAGCAATAAATTTAACCAAGGACGTAAAAGATCCGTACACTGAAAATGACAAGATGTTGATTAAAGAATCGAAGAAGACACAGAGGCGCCTGGGTGGTTCAGTCAGTTGAAGGCCCGACTTCGGCTCCGATCTCGAGGATCATGGGTTTGAGCTCTGCAATGGGCTTTGCGCTAACAGCATGGAGCCTGCTTGGATTCTCTATCTCCCTCTCTCTCTCTCTGTCCCTCCCCTGCTAATGCTCTCTCTCTCTCTTTTAAAAATAAATCAACATTAAACATTTTTTAATTAAAAAAAAAATTGAAGAAGACAGAAATAAATGGAAAGATATCTGTATTCTCATCTGTATTCCAGATGAGAATAATTAATATTGGTAAAATGCCCATACTACCCAAAGTGATCTGCATTTTCTTTTTTTTTTTAATTTTTTTTCAACGTTTATTTATTTTTGGGACCGAGAGAGACAGAGCATGAACGGGGGAGGGGCAGAGAGAGAGGGAGACACAGAATCGGAAACAGGCTCCAGGCTCTGAGCCATCAGCCCAGAGCCTGACGCGGGGCTCGAACTCACGGACCGCGAGTGATCTGCATTTTCAATGCAATCTCTATCAAAATTCCAATGCCATTTTTCAAAGAAATAGAAAAACAGTTCTAAAATCTAAAAACAGTCCTAAAACCACAAAAGATCCTGGATAGTCAAAACAGTCTTACCAAGCACAAAAAAAACAAGAAGCGTCACACTTCCTGGTTTCAAAGTATATCACAAAGCTGTACTGATCAAAACAGTATGTGAATAACATAAAAACAAGCATGTATACCAGTAGAATAGAATATAGAGACCAGAAACGAAACTATACATGTGCAGTCAACCAATCTTTGGCAAAGGTGACAAAAACACACAATGTGGAAAGGATAATCTCTTCAATAAATAGCGTTGAGAAAACTGGATATCCAGAAGGGAAAAAAATGAAAGTGGATTCCTATCTTATACCACTCACAAAAAATAATACAAAATGATTTAAAGACTTAAATATAAAACCCAAGCCCATAAAACTTCTAGAAACAAATACAGGGAAAAGGCTTGTTGTCGCTGGTCTTGGCAATGACTTTTTTTGGATAAGAAACCAAAAAACACAGGCAACAAAAGCTAACATAAACAAGTAGTCCTACATCAAAGTCAAAACAAAACAAAACAACCCTCTTCACAGCAAAAGAAACTATCAATGAATTGAAAAGGCAACCTTTTCAGAATGAGAGAAATATTTCAGACCGTATGTCTGATAAAGGGTTAATATCCAAAACAGGGAATAGTCCAATTAAAAATTAAGCAAAGGACCCAAACAGAAATTTTTTGAAAGAAGACATACAAATGGCCAGTGAAAAGGTGTTCAACATCACTAACCATCAGGAAATACAAATCAAAACCACAAGGAGCTATCACCTCATACCTGTTAGAATTGTTATTATCAAACAGACAAAGGATAATAAATGTTGTCAAGGATGTGCACTGTTAGTGGGAATGTGAGTGGGTACAGCTGTCATGGAAAACAGTATGGCAGTTTCTCCAAAAATTAAAAAATAGAACAATTATGTGATCCAGCCATCTCACTCCTGGTAATGTATCCAGTAGCCAAAATATGGAAGCAACCTCAATACCCTCAGACCCATGAATGGATACACATAATGAAACATTATTCAGTCATAAAACACAAGAAGGGCATCATGCTAAGTGAAATAAGCCAGAGAAAGACAAATACTGTATGATATCACTTGTATGTAGAATTTTTTTTTAAAGTCAACTCATGGAAACAGAGAATAAAATAGTGGTTTCCAGGAACTAGGAGGTGGGGGAAATGGGAAGATATAGGTCAAAGGGTACAAACTTTTAGCTGTTAGATGAGTAAGTGCTGAGGATCTAATGTGCAACATGGTGACTATAACTAACAACACAGGCAGTATTGTATTCTTGAAAGTTGCTGACAGTAGATCCCAAGTGTTCTCATAACCCTTCCCCCAACATATAGTTAACTATGTGAGGTGACAGATGTATTTACTCTCTTGATCTTGGTAATCATTCCACAATGTATATGTCTGTCAAATCATTGGGTTTGTATGCTGTAAATATATACAATTACATTTGTCAATTATTCATCAATAACCTTGGAAAAGAAAGAAAAATGCCAAAGCCTGAACTCACTATTCTCTCCATTCTCCCAGCCCTCCAGGACTATGAAATTCCTCCCTTCTCACCTGGATGGCTCAGTCGGTTAAGTGTCTGATTTCAGCTCAGGTCATGATCTCACAGTTCGTGGGTTCAGGCCCCGCGTTGAGTTCTGTGCTGACAGCTCAGAGCCTGGAGCCTGCTTCACATTCTGCATCTCCCTCTCTCTCTGCCCCTCCCCC